TTGAAAAGTTGACCTGCATTAAGTTTGCCTCCTTTACTCTGATACTGGAGCCAGTTATGTTTTACATCTTTGTGTAGTTAAACTCTCACATGATGCCGCTGTTCTCTCTCTCCTCCATGATGGAGAGACGTTTGGTTTATTGCTATGAAGTCAGAGTTTTGCAAAAACACAAGTTTAAAAAATACTCATATGAGTATTTTTATTTGAAACACACATAAACTACTTTCCTCTACTCACCACCATCTTTGATTGAGACAAAATTGGTCTCAGTCAATTCAGATACGTTTGAGCAGCAGATTTTCTGTTTGTCTTGCTTTAGTTTTAAGGTTATGAACCAAAGGTCAAAAGGTCATCCAGTCCTCAGGTTCTGCATCATGATTCAGAGTTTTATTTAATTTTTTTTCCGAGCTGCTACACTTAAATACAGGCCATCTTTGCTCTCTGCCCCCAGGGCTCTGTCCAGCACATTTCAGCACCAATGCTGCCTACAATGAAAGCTGTAAAAATCCCACTGAAATCATGTCAATATGCTGACAGTTAAATGATCATAACAGCCATGGAAACTGGCTTTTTAAACCTACTTATTTTTGCACATACGTGAGAAAAGAGCGTTTGAAAATGTGACCAAAATGTCCTTCAGACTCAGACAGGTGAACAGATGAGCTACAGCCCCTCCAGCACACAGAGAGGCAGCTATGAAAGCAGGGATGAAATTACCCGCTTCAGAAGAATCCCAAACGGCCAAACTCTCCAATAGGGTTTATTTCTAACCTAGAAATATAGCTGCCTTACCCCCCCACAGGTGGATCAGAGCAGCATCTTTGGGTAGATCTCATAGCTTGTGTGTTACAGGTATGAAAAGTAAGTTGCTTTGTGTTGCTAAAATCCCGTCTTGGTCTCAGGTTCATCATGGCTGAGCTGCTGCAGACAGAGAAGGCCTACGTCAGGGATCTGCAGGAGTGTCTAGAAGTGAGCAAACACGTCGTTTCTCCTCCATGTCGCTCCTTGTCTGGTTCTGGTATTCCGCTGACTGCCTCTTTCTCTGTGTCAGACCTACCTGAGGGAGATGACCAGCGGTGAGGAGGAGATTCCTCAAGGCATCGCCAACAAGGAACAAATTATTTTCGGCAACATGCAGGAGATCTATGACTTCCACAACAGGTAAGCTCTAAGGAGATTGTTTCTGCTGCAGTTTCTGTGGCGATGAGATGACATAAAAACTGGATTCTTCTCTCTGAAGTTTCAGGGTTAAGACAGAGAGTCTTTTATGTTACTGTTTCTGTTCTTCTGTGCATCTTTAAGGTTCGGTTACACAGACAGTTCATGGACTCCCTCTAACCTCCTGCTGAAAGATCTAAACTCAGACTATTGAGCTTTTTCATGAATTATCAACCCAAACCTTAAACTCTCCATTACCTTTTTTTTTTTCTTCTTTTATGTCTTATTAAAAAGTAGCAGAAGAAGCAAAGCCAATCGGTGTCCCGTGTGTCTCGATCTCAGCTCCCTTCAGCCAATCAGCATCAGGAATGCATATTTAGCTCCCTGGAGAAAAAATCTCTCTTCACAGCAGAGAGCTCGTTTATAAAGAGGCACTATGATGATGTCACAGTGACGCTGCGGTAGATTGGGAGTAATGTAATGGCCTTACGACTGTAATTAGATTACCTTTTTAATAGAATAAAAACTACTGCAGTTACTAAGACTGTGTTGGGGATGGTCAAAGTTTATTGTTAGTGTTAAAAATCACTGATAATCGATCGATCCTGATCCTGATCGATCGAGGAGGTGTTCCTAGATCAGAGAGCAGTGGAAGGTGAGTGAGCTGGATGTTCGTTAGGTAGTAGGTAGACAGATGGTTAGGAGTCAGAGTCGGGGTCTGTTTCCTGTTGGATGTCGCTCTGGGATGAAGGTGATCCTCCTTCTTCTCTTGCAGTATTTTCCTGAAGGAACTGGTGAACTATGAGCAGCTTCCAGAGGATGTGGGCCACTGCTTCGTCACCTGGGTGAGAAGTTTTACTCCCCATTGTCTGCCTTTATATTCCCTTTTGTTTTAAGCTTGGCCTGATTTATTGAAACTCTTTTTTTTTCAGGCTGATAAGTTCCACATCTATGTGGACTACTGCAAGAACAAACCCGACTCCAGTCAGCTCATCCTGGAGCACGCTGGCAGCTTCTTTGACGTGAGTAAAACCCCAAACTCATCTCTAATTATATCCAATTAGTTTAGGGATTTAATAAAGAATAAGAACAGTTGTTTTCAGGGTTAAACAAAAAAAAGAAGCAAGAAATCAGAGCATCAATATAAAAAATAAAAGTCTATTATTAAACATACAGCCCCACTAATATTGGAATTAATGCCCCTTAGGAAGCGAAAGAATAAATCTTATCCTGCTGTTATCATTATAAACAAGCTTAGGAAACGTTTCATTGTTTTAGTCGGATACTCAAATACAATGAAAATAAATTGATCATATTATGTAAGATAAATCCATCAAGTCTAACGACAAAGTACAGCACAGTAGAAACAAAGTTTGTGACAAAGATACAGTAAAATGTTTTCCCCAAACAGCGAACCTTCAAGTTGCTCCAAAGAAACAAATATTTTACTCTCAAATGGGACAAGATGTGAAAATGTTGATAATAAAACCTGAATTTCTCAGCACCAACCATCACTGAAGGTCTGCTACAAGATGTCTTAATTTTTCATCTTATCTCTGCAACAGGAAGCGTAAACTTTTACTAAGTTGGGTGTTTCAGTATCATAAAGAGCGCAAATAAACATTAACGCTAGTTTAAAGGGTGACAACATTGGCTTGCTTTAAACATCTGGATATGGCCTGAAAGCAAGGTCCGACTAATGAACAGAATAGAAAGACTTTTATTGTCCCAGAGTAGAGATTTAATTCTAATTTTTCGCAGCAAAACAAAGAAAAATAATATTCACAAAAGTAGAAGCCATTTAAGTGAAACAAGTTATTTATTCCTGTATGTAGAATGTAGATCTCTAAATAATCTGCATCATGTTTTTTGTATGAAAAATGTACCAGATGTATATTTTATGATTTTACAGAATGATTTTAACATGAATTAGGTTTTTTTAAAAATCATTATTATTGTTATTTCTTCAAAAAGCTTGGGGCCTGATCTTTAGAGGGTTAGGGTGTCTTAAAACACTTTCAAAGAAGGTTCAGAGTTATTCCTCTTTGCAATTCAGCACAGGGTTTGCAAAGCTATGTGCCTTTGTCAACATGCAGATCATATTCTAACGACCAAACTGCACTAATTCATCGGTCTGCATCTCTTATTCCTCACAATGGATTCACCAAAGCATGGAGCATGGTTATATTTTACATCTTTGCACCTATTGTAAGACATGCACACCTTGTGTGTGTGTTTCTTGCTTTGTTAATCTGATTTAGTGGGATGATTAATAGTTTTAATCATTTAAATAATCATTTTTATTATTATTACCCCCAAGTGCATGATTTTGAACCTCATTTTATGACAGCAGCGTGTACACAACACAATCAGCTTATTTTAATGCAGCAAAAATGTGTGTTTTAACATTTTTGCAGCAGTTTTTTAGATCAGCGGTCCCCAACCATGGACCGGTTATATGTCAGACATTATTTTCACGCACCGGACTTTAAAGTGTGGGGAGTAAATATGATAAAAATAAATGATACGACTGGCATAAAATCAAATACAAACAGCATAAAAATAAAACTCACCATTATGTTGAATTAGTGGGAGCCCTGATTTTGTTTCTCTGAAAAAAGCCGGTCCCATCTAGGTATAATTGGAGACAATGACAGAAGTGTGCTCCTGATGTCAAATAGTCAAGAGTTTAGATTTGTTAAGGTGATCATGCTGAAAAGTGTTTGTGTTGTTTTTTGTGAGAACAACAGAATGAAGACAGAAAAGGACAGAGCAGAGAGAGAGTAAATAGGCAACCTGATTTAAATAACCAACCATTCCTAGCATGTGCTGTGTAGTTCCTCCTTTTAACCAGCAGGTGGCTTTGTTTAATCACAGAACACTTGTTAAACTAGAAGCAGCTGTGTTCAGACCACATAATAAAAAATTTCAAAGTTTATCATTTAATTCTAATGGAGAACTAATGCAGACCGTTTTTACCTGCAATAATCATCTAATGTTTAAATAAAAGTGTTTTTAGATCGACACAAAAATACAATTCCAACCACCCGTTACACATTGGCAACAAAATATACTCAGAAAATGAAGTAGCTTTGAAAATACTGTTATATCCACAAACCTCTACTCATCCTGTTTATGGGTTTATGTGACACAACAGCAGAATAGTTTATCATTTTATAATGAAAAGCAAATTTAAGAAAACAAAAAAATAATTTAGAGGTATGTCTCTACCAGCTGTCCTCATCTAGAGACTGAAAATATCTTCAGCTCAGTCAGACTGGAAGCAGAGGGAGTGTAAACGTCACTTCTCTCTGCATGCTTCCTGCTCTCTGTTCCATTTAGGACTGACTGTGTTTGGATGTGACTCATTGAATCGTAGCTCTAACTGTATGTTTGGGGTCATGGTGCTGCTGGATGCTGATCCTGATTAGGCAGCATCCATTTTCCCATCAACTCTGACCAGCTTTGCTGTCAATGCTGATGAAAAGTTTCTCCCAATCCATGATGCTGCCACCACCATGTTCTATAGTGGAGAGTTTGTTTCTTTGTTTTTTCGGGTAATGTGCTTTTCAGCGAATGTAAGATTTTTCTTTTCAGATTTTCTATTTGCATTACACGGTCACAAGTATATAGCAACTAAATGGACTCTCTGCATTTATCCCATCCCCTTGGGGAGCAGTGGGCTGCCATTGTGCGGCGCTCAGGGAGCAGTGTGCAGTGAAGGGTCTTTGCTCAGGGACCCAGAGTGGCAGTCTGTGGGATTGGGGCTTGAACTCAGAACCTCTGAATTCCAAGCGGAACACCCTGACCACTAGGCCACCACACCCCTTTGCATGCAGTCCAAAAGAATATCAGTCTGGACCTCAGCTGACCAAAGAATCTACTTCACTCCCTCCACTGGCCACTTAACGGGAGACAGATGAGACATCTAATCCAGATTGGAAAAGCCTCTTCAACCTGAACCATGAATCTCTGGAGCTCCTCCAGAGTTTCCATTGGGCTCAATCCTGCATCGTTTCCAGTTTAATTGGACAGCCATGACCTCTGGGTGTCAAACACATTTTATACTGGACTACTGTGGCATCGTCAAGTCTTCTTTTCTTTACAAAGAGCTCAACTATTATTTAACTTTACTCTCATTTATCTTGCAGTTTTCATCACTTTGTTCAAATTACACTATTTCAAATTACGCCTTACACTATAGATCAAATCCATGATCAAATGCATTGATGATGAGATTTAATTCAACACAGATTAATCCTGGTTGCTAATTAGATGATTTTTAAAANAGTCCAAAAGAATATCAGTCTGGACCTCAGCTGACCAAAGAATCTACTTCACTCCCTCCACTGGCCACTTAACGGGAGACAGATGAGACATCTAATCCAGATTGGAAAAGCCTCTTCAACCTGAACCATGAATCTCTGGAGCTCCTCCAGAGTTTCCATTGGGCTCAATCCTGCATCGTTTCCAGTTTAATTGGACAGCCATGACCTCTGGGTGTCAAACACATTTTATACTGGACTACTGTGGCATCGTCAAGTCTTCTTTTCTTTACAAAGAGCTCAACTATTATTTAACTTTACTCTCATTTATCTTGCAGTTTTCATCACTTTGTTCAAATTACACTATTTCAAATTACGCCTTACACTATAGATCAAATCCATGATCAAATGCATTGATGATGAGATTTAATTCAACACAGATTAATCCTGGTTGCTAATTAGATGATTTTTAAAAGCATTTGTTGTTTTTTTATTTCAGCTATCAGAATAAAAAGGGAGGACTATGACAATGCCTGTAGATGATAATTACAAACACTCAAATTCCCTTTAAATGAGCTTTAGTTTATGTGGGAATGAATATTCATTGTGAGGAGTGCAGCTACAAAAAATTGAGCCGGTGCACCGCAAAAAATTTAAACCTAAATAAGTATTTTTTTTCTTAAAATAAACACATTTTTTCCTGAATTGAGGAGGTAAGTGAGACACTTTGCAAATGGGGCAAGACAATTTTCATTTGAAATAAGAAAAAAAAAAAGAAAAAAAGAAATAAGAAAAATACAAATGAAATGTCTTATTTCAATGCATATAATCTAATAAGATAATCTAATTATCTTATTGTGAGAGTAAAAACACTCATTCTATTGGCAAATCATCTCGTTTACCCACCCAAATTAGGGGTAAGTGCACCTAATTTGAGACATTTTTGCTTATTTCTATTGTCTTGAAGATGTAATTGCAGTAAACAATTTCCTTATTGGGTCTGAATTTGAATAGACGACACATTTTAGTTGTTTTTTTGTAAAGAAAACAAAAAATTTGATTTCAAATCAGTTTAATTATACAGCACCAATTCACAACATGTTCTCTAAATGCACTTAACAGAGACAATCCAGTTAGATAAGTTCAAAGTGCAGGAAATCCAACCATGCATCATTTTTCCTTTATCTGTCACATGAAAACTTAAAGAATAACAATAAAGTTTAATGTTCAGAAATGTAGCAGAGCTAAAACATTGTGGTTCTGTTTAATTGCAGCTCATTGAGGATAAATTGTAAAAGAAAGAATTTGACAAAGTGGTTTGAGATGCTTTGTTGTTGGTGAACAGGACATTCAGCAGAGACGTGGGCTGGGAAACACGCTCAACTCCTACCTCATCAAACCAGTCCAGAGAATCACGAAGTACCAACTTCTGCTGAAGGTAGAACAGCCGGACAACCGATCCGCTCTGACAGATCCAGCAGCAGCAGTCTGACTTTTACTGTGTCATCATGCAGGAGCTGCTATCATGCTGCGAGGAGGGTAAGGGCGAGATCAAAGATGGTTTGGAGGTGATGCTCAGTGTTCCTAAGAGAGCCAACGACGCCATGCATTTAGCCATGCTGGAGGGTAAGACCGTTTCCACTCTGCTGATAAACAGCTGCTCTGCATCTGGGAGTTTAACTGTCAACCTCTGCCTCAGGCTTTGAGGAGAACCTGGGGGTTCAGGGTGAGCTGATCCTCCAGGACAGCTTCCAGGTCTGGGACCCACGCGCCCTGATCCGAAAGGGGCGGGACCGCCACCTTTTCCTGTTTGAGTTTTCATTGGTCTTCAGCAAAGAGATCAAAGACTCAGCAGGAAGGACGAAGTACCAATACAAGAACAGACTACTGGTGAGAGCTGAGCGCAGTTCCCCGTGTGACCTGCAGGGGCCCCCCTTCTGTTTGTTTAAAGGTTTTAAATCTTGCTTCTGTTTTGTTTGCAGACGGCAGAGTTGGGAGTAACGGAGCACATAGAGGGTGACCCGTGTAAATTTGCTCTATGGGCAGGAAGAACCCCCTCCTCTGATAATAAAACTGTGCTAAAAGTAGGTCAAAATATATCAAAGTAGTCCAAGCTTTTGAGCGTCATTGTTCCCCGTTTTTAAACAGAGAAACTCTCTCCTCCAGGCTTCCAGCATGGAAGCCAAACAAGAGTGGATAAAAAACATCCGTGAGGTGATCCAAGAGAGAATGACTCACCTGAAGGGGGCGCTGAAGGAGCCTCTTCATCTGCCTAAAACGCCGGCGCTGACCAAGCCCAGGAATTATCCAAAGAGGTCAGCCAGCTGCTCTACTCCCACCTGAATGCATAGAACATCCCATCAGCTAAACATTACAACTGCTTCCATGACTGAATCGCCATGGTTACTCGCATAGATGGAGATCATAGAGATCAATCATTCAGTTATTTATTAGGGTATCTGCACTGTGAAGTGAAATGAAATGACTCCTTTTGACCAAACCTAATACAGAAACCAAGAAAACTGAATCAGTAACGGATGTCAAAAAAATTCAGGATATCAGCTGAAAAAAAAAACCTTCTGTGTCCATAACGCCGGGCATACACTGTACGATTTCTTTTCAGTTGTCGCCTGCAGGTACAGCTCACACTCTAAGATTAAACTGGAACTCTAGATGAAAGATGAAACTCTAAGAGAACTACCTGTCTAACCTCTCTCCTAAGCTGTAATGGTTTTTAGAATATTTGAATTGAATTTTCACTACAGAGTGTCATGTAAAGAAAAAATAAATGTTTTTAGAGCTATTTTTTTTATTAATGTAGAAATTATGTTTCATAATTATTTTGAAAGCTAAAAATACAAATAAATAAACTGTATGTTGTTTAGATGGCAACAAATTTGGTATTACAAAAAGGTAACAAAAATATTAGGTAGTATTTGGTCATATAATATTTTTTGCTCTAAGCGACTTTTAATTAACTGAACTCAAGGCTAAACGGCTCTTTGGATATGAAAGCTTGCAGACCCCTGTACTAGCTGATCAAATCAATTCAGTTTAGTCTGTCAAATAAGCAGCCTGTAGTGTCTTTAAAGGTCCAGCAGGTGTCAGTATTCTGTGAGACAGTATGAACGCAGTATCAATACAGTTTGACAAGGTGTCAAAATGCTTCACTAGGTCCCTGTAAGAACATGACGCTGTAGAAGTACTGCTGCCATATACTGTAGTAATGATCCCATAGGATGATTATTATGGGATACATACAGTTTTGGTTAAATAAATACTTTCAGATCTGACAGGAAACAGATGATTTCTTTTCAAGTGCAAAAACTAGAACTTGCAGAACTTTTTCTATTTCTGTCATGAGTATAATTGTGTTTGTTGAGATGTGAGCAGAGAGATGAGGACGTTGGTAGTGACAGTGCTGTGCATGTCTGGCTGTTCTCAGGGAGGGAGAAGACGGAGACAGCCAGGGAGACGGCAGCAGCCAACCAGACACCATCTCCATCGCCTCCAGGACGTCCCAGAACACCATGGACAGTGACAAGGTAGGAGTTTCTCTCTGAGCGCATGTGGAAGGAGAGGAGCCTCCGGATGAAGGCCGGCTCTGTAACGAGCTGATGACCCTCACCTGTGGCTGCGCTACAGGGTCTCCTCAGCAGCTACTATGGGCTGCAGCAGGGGTGGGAGGGAGTGTCTGTGGTAAACAGGCAGCATGGAGGCCTGCTTGTTCTGGGAGCTCCATGTGAAGCAGAGCTGCTTCTGTGTGTCTGAGGAGTTGGTCATGTAGGCTGATGAAGAGCGATGAAGACTCTCTTCAAGATGTGTTCGGGTGTCTGTTCTGCTGATGCTGCGTACCGACCGGCTTCCCACATCCAAGTAAGACGTAGAGTTTGCTTCCTCAGATTCCTCCTCAACTGTCAAATCTTCCCCATGTTTGTTTGATCCTATTTAGCAACATTTCATTCATCCTTAAAAAACAAACTTGAAGATTCCTCAGTTGTTTATAGAATCTCTAGGAAATCTCAATATTTATCTTTTATTTAAAGGAGTAAATGAGTTGGTTCTTGTGCAACTCATCAGACTACAGCACAAACATTAAGAGTTTTGAATCTATTAAAGTTTTTTCTTTTATCTTTTTAATATCATCTTCATAAATGATTTCAGTGGTTGCAGTCATGTCTCGCTTAAAATTCCCAAAAAAGTAAAAAAAAACAATCCGCTGGACTTTGTTTCCAAGTTTAAAGACGTTTTGCTTCCCAAACAGGAAGCTTTTTATCAAAATCAAAATGTTAACATCAAAT